TCCGTGCTCCCGCTCTATGGAGTCCCCGTTGGGACTCCTGGTGGACATGCACTACACAGCATCCCCACCGTCGACAGCATCCTCTTGGCGCCGCCTAACTTCTTCCGACCCCTCCTGAGTGGATAAGTCGGTCGCTGTGACACTTTCGCTAGTGCCCCCAGCGGTAGCAACTCTGCTGTGCAACAGCTCTGCCACAACTTCTACAACAGACGGAGAGAGTTGGTGTACTGGAATGCACCAAACACACCTTCAGCAGGGACCTCAACAGCCCGCACCAGGGCGCCATCCACGTCCGGTCTACTGCTGCTCTCTCCTCCCGCAGTGTCGCCCTCCCTGACGACCACGCAGCTCTTGGTGGCTGCTCGGTGGAACACACAAATCCCGCCGCACCTGCCGTGCCTCTCGCAGCACGGCCCGACTAATCCTGGCCTCGCCCACCCGACTTGGCCTGCAGAAGCGATGGCAGCCTGCCCATCATCTCCTACACCCCTGGTTCTCGCCTCAACTCGAAACCCTAGTCAAAACTTGCGCGTCGTGTCACTCAGTAATGTCCTTACCACGGGATCACGCACAACGCTCCTGCTGCTGCTTCTTCTCACCACAGCTGAACTCTGAAGATCATCGGGCTCCTCCGGAGGATGCATTTCTAGAATGTTGGTATGCCCTTGTTGTGCGACCTCCAGAGTCCAAAGAGTGTTGTTAACGGCATGTATTATCGTAGGGGGACATGAGGGAGAAGGAGGGAGGAAGAGTGCCAGGCCCAAAGCCGGTCGAAAAGGGGGCCCGCAACTCGTATCTCAAGGTCTCTCCTAGCCGACCCTCAAGGCAATCCCATCTGCGGTACACGAAACCGCCAGTGATTTGGTTGTTGTTGTTGTTGTTGTTGTTGTTGTTGTTGTTGTTGTTGTCTTCACATTTAAAACCATCCCGGTCTCTCTATCCAGTACCTCCTTCTGTCTTAATCTCTCCGTACTAATCCAGCACTTGACTCGGTCAATTTCCGTGGTCACAGGCTAACGTACCTAGAAAAGGTATACCAAAATAAAATGGACCCCAAGGGTTAGTAGAGCGATTAAATACAAGAAAACAAAAGAATCAGAAACAAATAAATAAATAAATAGTGGAATAAATAGTGGAACGTGCGCACCACCAGCCTGGGGGGTAGCCTTCCGGAAGGACCCCAAGGGTCAGCAGTACGTGCCAGTAAAACAACAAAACAAAATGAAACGAAATAAACCAAAGACAGACGATTTGGTACAATCCGACTTATCTACCTCCACGCACGAACACCGGCCTCCGTCCTACCCAAATTTTCCTCCGCAGATGTAGCCAGACCGGGCTTGCTTTCGCCAACCAGTTATTGCGGAGGAAAAGGGTTGTCTCCTGGCTCCCCTGGAGAACAAGGGCGACATCTTGGTGTCATCAGCGCCTTAACTCGCTCTCCGTGTTGGCGGCTACTTTGTACAAGGAGGATAATGCTTTGTGGTGGGGGTGGGCTTGACTTTTTTGTTTGAAGGGGGTTTGTTGTGCGGAGGAAGATACTTCCCGTGAAATATCGTTTTGCGTGGTTGTGTAACATTGCTAGAGTACGGGCCCGCTGATAAAAAAGCTGCCGGTATGAAACTCAGGCTGAGATTTCCGCACAACAAGTAAGAAAGTGCCCAGCCTGGATGGCGAATGCTTCCAAAATTTCTCTAGTGATTGGCTCTGGTCTCTCATAAGAAAGTCAGGCTGGGTCCGATCTCTGGTTTCTTATCAGCGGCCCGGTACTCTACTATAATACCAAACAGCAGTCGTGTCGAAATGAACACGTTAATGCCGGTGTCGGATGCGATCTCTAGGGCTTTCCCAGTCTGAGTACGCGCTGTCCTGCGTTATGCGTGCTTGTGTGTGGTGTGCAAAACCAAACGCAAAGAAACGACGACAGGCGGCGCGCTCCTGGATATTTTGCTTTCGGTCAGGACATTTCTTGAACCGGAAACGCGTTTCTGATGGAATCTTCAGTCATTCGGTACTCTTCTATATGGGGGGATGATCGGCGAGGCTTGCTCCTATCTATTCGCACTTCGCTCTCTCCCTCTCACCGATTGACGAACGGAGGATCGGTGCTCCTTGCGTACGCGACACGTTGTAGCTATTCTTGCTCTCTCCCTCTCCCCGATTTGAAAATGCTAGTTGGTGAACGAGAGCACGATCGGTGTTCCTTGCGCGACACATCGTCGGACACATCATGGCTGTTTCGATCGTTGCATAACAAGCTGTTGCGGAAAAGAGGGTCGGTGTTTCCTTGCGCGCGCGACCAAGCGTCTGACACATCATGACTGCTCGAACTTTGCTCTCTCCCTCGCCGTGATAATAAAAAGCTGGTTGGGAGAACGAGAGCAGGATCGGTGCTCCTCGCGTGCGCGACAAACCGGTTGACACCTGAGGGAAATTTCAACTTTGGTTTCTGCCTGTCGCAGATTTGAAAATTGCTGGTTTGTGGAACGAACGGAGGATCGGTGCTCTCGCGCATGGTGTTCGAAGCTTGCTCTCTCCCTCTCTGACTTATGAACGGCCGGTTTGAAGAACTAGAGAGGGATCGGTGCTTCTTGAGTGCGCGACCAAACGTCGGAACACACCTGGATGCTCTCACATTGCTCTTTGCCCCTCCTCGCATAGAAACATGCTTGTTTGCGGAACAAGGGCACGATCGGTGCTTCTTGCGAGCAGCACAAATCGTTTGACACACCATGGCTATTCGAACTTTGCTCTCGGCCTCTCCTGGATTTGAAAATCGCTGGTGTGTGGAGAGAGAGATCGGTGTTTGTTGCGTGCGCGACCAAGAGTGGGACACACCATAGCTTTCGGAACTCTCTCTCCCTCTTCCTGATCGATGAAAGCTGTTTTGAAGAACGAGAGCAGGATCGGTGCTTCTTGCGCGCGCGACAAATGCTCCGAAATATCATGGCTGCTCGAATTTTGCTTCCATACTCTCCCCAACTGAAAAATGTTGGTTTCGAGAGCAATCTGAGGACGGTGCTACTTACTCGCGCGACAAAGCGTCGGACACGTCAATCATGGCTGTTTGAACTATCCTATTTCCTTCTCTGACTTGTGAAAGGCAGGTTTGGCAAACGAGAGAGGGATCGGTGCTTTTTGGGTGAGCGCTACAAGTCGTGCCCGCGACAAATCGTCGGACACATCACGGCTGTTTGGACTATGCTCTCGTCCTCTCTGACTTGAGGATGTGGGCTCGTTCTGCAAGCACGACAAACTTGCTCAACACTCCTAGCTGTTTGATCCTCCCTCTTCCTTCCATTTCGACCACGACAAGAAAGACAAAGTATGAGACCAATCAAAATAGCCCGGGTGGACTATAGTGCACGAAAAATGTATACTGAACTTGACTGAATAGTCTAGGTGACCAGGGAACCAAAAGCTAGCTAAACGATGTAGCATCACCCACATCGGCATGAAACAGGCCACTCCATGCTGCCAGTCGGCGGGAAGGTAACACCAAGAGTATGTGATTGCCCCCTTCATCAGAACCAACAGAATGAAAGGATGGTGCCTGCCAGCCCCTACCCTCAGGAATTGATCTTCGGGTGCAAACTACCGTACGGGCAACGAGCGAGCCAGACCAAGCCGCGAGAAAATAAGTCTACTCCCAGCAAAAAAAGGCCAACCAACGCATGACAAAGGCAGCTCGAACCGCGGCAACATCATACGGAGTGGTACACGGCAATGCCTCCCTGCCAATACCGAAAAGAACCAAGCTGCACGAGCACCATCGGTCACGACGCGCGGTTGCAGCACATGTTTAACGGCACCGCATGCCTCTTCAGCAGCAGCACAAAGTAAATAGCGATCCACCAAATATCTTGAAATAATCGGCTACACGACGAAGCCGAAGGTGGCGACCAGGAGGCCAGCCACGGTGGTAAATCCGAGGACGGTAGACACAACCCACGAGGAGGGAAGCCCCGTAGCCCCGTTGCAGTCACTGATGTCAACCAAGTTGTCTCCGCACCCCGTGGTGAGTTCCTCAAAGACGCACTCTGACGATGGGGGCAAAAGGAGGACATGATGGGTGGGAAAGGTGATTAAACCCACGGGCATTCTGTTGGTTTTATCTGCTTCTGAGAGCACGCATGGCAACCTTTCTAAGGTATCGGTTAACCGTTGGCACAACAGTAGTAACGCGCCAACGGTTCATAAACAAACAGGTCATGTGTTCACGTGTTGCTCTCAGAAGTAGAACTACGTAGAACTGGCTACCCTAGCACGGAAGGGCATGGAGTGGAGGCCGCGTTGTAAAGACAAAAGCCGTCACCCGGAGGTCGTCGTTGACGGAATCATGAAACCGAGAAAAGCACGGCGTACACAGCTTGGGCAATGCTGTGTGTTGTGTGCTTTCCCCATCTTTTCTGGCGTCTGCCGTCAACTTTTCGGTGCATATTGTATATCGGTGTATGCATTTTGCGACACCTTTCGGTGTACTACACGCGTCGGCGGGTGCTCTCTGTACAACTATCTATGTAGACGTACCAGCCGGGGGCTCACAAGAGGGTGAGAGTTAAGTTGTGTGCGCACCAAAGCACGGTGTAACGTGTTGATCAGTTAAGCAGCTACTATAGCGATTACATTCGGCCGTCTACCAAAGACACTATCAACACGCGTGCACGATGCACAGAAGCATCGAAGCAGAGATCACATCGAAAGACTTTTGAAAGCGCAGGTCGATTGTGGTAGAAGGTAGAGAAAAGGAGCGGAGAACAATACCTACCTGGGAAGCATGAAGAGCCAACATGAGAGGCATGGTACATTGTTTATTTATTTATTTTTGCCTTCAACATTATTGTTTTTGCGCACGAAAATTTTCGCTCGCAAATACCACCGGCCATAGACAGTTAACCCTCGAAAAAACCACCCAACAACGACGGATATACGGTCCCTAGCACCGTGTAGGAGAGGATCCTGAGTTTGGCGGTCGGGAGTTACCGCGGTCACGAGATCGAGGTAGGTCGTGATAAGCCAACTTGGAGACAGCTGCCGATGGGTTTGAACCCAAATGCCCCGGTTTGGACACCGGGGCAA